GAGGGGCCTCAGAATGGCATAGGGCAGCCTGCTCTTCTATCGCCTGGAAAAGAAAGTCCTTGGAGAGGGCTCTCAGTGACCCAAGTTGACACCTGTCAACTAGAGGAAAAACAGTTTGGGGTGCTCTTTGGCTCCTTTTTAAGGGCCCAAAGGTAAATCTTCACCCTCCATTTTGAGTGGGACTCTTGTTCACCTTTGCCAGGTGGAGCTAACATAAGTGTCCTGGCACCAGAGGCTGCCAGGTGGAGCTAACATAAGTGTCCTGGCACCAGAGGCTGCTGGCGCAATGCGTTCGCCGCTGTTTGCTCAAGTGCTGGTGTTGACTTGGCACTGGGCAAAAAAGATAAATATGTAGGGCAAGGCCACATCTTGGAGACTTTATGCAGAAGTCGATCTTTTCTTTGCTGATTTCTTTCCCCCTCTGATCTGTAGCAACATCATCCTTCATCAAAGGGTGTCTCTGAGACCATGAGGTTATACTCTCTCTCTCTCCCTCCCTCCCCCCCTCTCTCTTTGACTCTCTCTCCCCCTCCCTCCCTACCCCCTCTCTCTCCCCCTCTCTCTCTCTTAATTTTGTTGGTCATGGGATTGAATTTAGTTCCAAGATAGAGTCAGTCTAGTAATTCTCAATAGAGAGCAAGAATGAGGTGTAAAACTCAGGCACTGTTCCTCAGAGCACTGGACCGTTTGAGCCATAGTACTACTTCTAGCCATCTTTTTTTTTTTGATAGTTAATTGGAGATTAAAGTCTCATGGGATTTCTTGCCCAGGTTGACTTTGAACTATGAGCTTCAGATCTCAACCTCGTGCATAGCAAGGATCACAGGCATGAGTTTTCACTACCTGGCATTGTTTGTTTGATGAGTTTTTTTTCTGTTTGTTTTTTTTTGTTGTTGTTGTGAATGCTGAACATATTTCCAACTTTTCCACTTCAGTTAATGAACTAAGGAAAGATACTGTGAACCATGCTAATTGAAATCCTTAATGATTTCTTCTTTAAGCTTACTTTGAAAGAAGTTTTATTTCAGCCCAACAAGTGCAAATGTGACTTAAAAACAAAATTTCTAGTTCATAGGCCAGAGTTATCATACCTTAATTTGGAAATGTATTTTCTCTGCACTATCAGTATGCTTCGTTTGAAGAGGAGTGGGAGGGGAATTATGTTGGTACTTAGGGTCTTGAACTCAGAATCTCATGCTGCCTCTTAGCCTTTTCCAGGTTGGAGTTCTTCCTTTGAGCCTCAGCTCACCTTCAGCTTCTTGCTAGTGAATTAGAGGTAAGATTCTCATGGAATTTTCTGCCCAGGCTGGCTTCGAACTGGCAATCTCAGATCTCAGCCTCCTGAGTAGCTAGGATTACAGGCATGAGCCACTGGCACCTGGCTCAGCATGTGCATTTAGTGTATCATCCTTCTATGAAAAGGGATGCGTTTTAGGGCATGTAAAGGGGGGGGGGGGGGACAAAGGGAGGCCCTGCCCCCTCTGGGTATTTGTCATCTATGTGGCTGATTGGACCTTCTGCTTCCAGAGTGGCAAGACTCTTTGGGTTCTTTCTGGGCCAGCCCAAAGTGCCATAGCCAAGGCCTAAGCAGGCTTACACATGAGCCACATGGCCAGTCGAGAATGACAGGGCAGGCAGTTTACCTACAAAGAATGGAATCTGGACACAGATGGGCTGGTGTCTTCCAGAACGAGCAGGCTGCGCTTCTCACACTGACTGGATTGGAGTTGGCTGGGGTCACCTTTTGCCTGTTTTCCTGTAAATACAAGAGCCCTTTTACACAGGGGCCAGATTCTTGTCTCCAGCTCAGTACCTTTGTGGTTTTCTTTTAAGTTTCAAATTTCTTTGGCTCACATGCCTATCATTTGTAAACTTTGGCCTTAGAAGCCTGACAGAGAGCAGAGTACTCTACCTGATGCCACTTAGTAAATACTAGCTGCAGACCCTATGGTAAAGGGGAGAGTATTGAGATGCAAGGTAGGTGGTTTCCCCCAACAATCACAGTACTTTACTTGAGTGGAGGATCCAAGATTTGAACCCAGGGCTCTTTGATTCTAGAGAATATGCCTTTTTTGCTCAACATCTTGTAAAACCCGAGTTAGACTAGCCAGTCCACTTAAAAGTTGTCCCATGCCAAATGGATCACACAAGAGAATTCTGTGCTATTTATCAAGATATTTTAATTTTATTTACTATCATTTCAACTCCTGACGTCTATTTACTCTCATAGGTACACACACAGCTATTCAAGCAAGAATCTCATCAACTTTCAACACTTAATACTTGTCAAAAATCCTCACCTCACCCCTATCTTATGCATATTAATTACCTTCTTGCTTTCCTAATCACTTTCCTAAAGACAGCTATCTAGGCTGGTTTTTGGTACCTTTTCACTGGATTTCATTGTAGCATTTTTATACCTATATATAATGTACTTGGATCATTCACACACACCTCCATTACGTTCCCTTGTTCCCCTTCCTTCTTATCTCTTTCCTTTTCCCAATAAGCCTCTCTCTTCTACTTTCATGTCTTTGTTTTTGTTATTGTGCTGGTTGGTCCTGCAGCTTGAACTGCAATCCCTGAGCTTTTTTGCTGAGGGCTGGCACTCTACCACTTGAGCCACAGCTCCATTTCTGACATTTTGCTGGCTCATTGGAGATAAAGAGTCACAGACTTTCAAGCCCTACAAATCTTAGGGGATGGGCACATGGTTTAGGTGGTGGAGTGCTTACCAAGAAAACATAGGGCATTCATTTCTCTTGTAGCTCTAAAATTTGTAACATGGGAATATAAATGATAACTAAACACAAACCAAATCCCTGTAGCCTAAAACTGATGAAAGTGTGTTTATAAAGTTCACACCATCACTAAAGTTTGCAGTAAAAAACTCAGTCCTCAGCTTCCTCATGCCAAAGGAAAAGGGGAATACGGGATCAGCAAGGTGGTTTGTTTATTCCAAATAATGAAAGCATGGAGACAAAAGGCTTTTTTTGGCTCACAGATGTAATAACTAAGCAGTCATTGTTTTGAAACTTTTAGAGATACTTATGTTATTGACACCAACAGATTTCAGACTAAATGCAAACAATTTCATTTGCAACTTTTGTGATGGAATTGGGAAATGACCATTTCTGGCCAGGTGCCGGTAGCTCAGACCTGTCATCCTAGCTACTCAGGAGACTGAGATCTGAAGAACAAGGTTCAAAGCCAGCCTGGGAATCAAAAGTCCATGAAACTCTTATCTCCCATTAACAGCAAAAAGCCAGAAGTAGAACTGTGGCTCAAGTGGTAGAGCACTAGCCCTGAGTAAAAAAGCCAACGCCTTCACCTCAAACCCCAGTACTGGCAGGTACACACACATACACACACACACACACACACACACACACACACACACACACACACACACACGAACGATGCTCTAGGATCTCCTTAAATGATAACACTTTCTCCCATCATTAAAAGTGATAAAGAAAAATGAATGAATCCTTCTAATAATGAAAAGCAGCAGGAAGTAACTTTACTATAATTATCCTGAAGTAGTTGTACAAAAGGGCTTCAGTTTAACATGTCAGTTTACGAGGATGCTGTGTTAACCAGTGTCACCCCTTCCATCCGTCTCCCTTATCTGTCCCAACCAGGAAGTAGATTTGTAAGAAGCCAGATTCTATAGTATACCCTACTTCACAAACTAGAGGCGAGACAGAATTAGCAATTTTTTGTTTCCTTGTTTTTAATAAAATCCATAAAATAAAGCAGAGGACAACCCTCCATTCCATTTCTTAGTCGCGCTGACCCTATTTCAAATGCTCAGTTGTCACCTGGGAGTGACAGCTTCTCCAGGATCGGTCACAGGGGCTTGTATGGCATGGCGCAGGGCTGAAAAAAGGACATGGAGTCTGGTGCCCCAGCACTTTGAATCAAGTCCTCCTACAAGCTGAAACTGGCAGGCCAGGCAACTCACTGTCTCTGAGTCTGTTTCGCGTGGGCAGTGAGACTGGTACCATGTACCATGACAAGGTGGAGAAGAAGAAATGAGAGAATGCAGGGCACAGCTCTCTGGATCAATGCTGTGTGTCATTCAGCATGGGGTTAAACTGGCTCTTTGTGGATTGATTGCAAATCCATCAATAGTTCCGTACCAAGATTTTTTTTTTTTTTTTTTGCCTTCATAAGGCCATAAAAATGTTGCTACAGCCAGGTGCCAGTGGCTCATACCTGTAATGCTAGCTACTCAGGAGGTTAACATCTGAGAATCTCAGTTCAATGCCAGCTAGGGCAGACAAATCTGAGACTCTTATCTCCATTTAACCAGCAAAAAGGCCAAAAATGGAGCGAGCGGTGACTCAAATGCGATATGCTGCAAAAACAGATTTTTCTAAACAATGACAGCTTAGAAAAGCTGTTGGGGAATGAATCGAACAGTACTGTGATTATGGGATGTGTATTATACACACACACACACACACACACACACACACACACACACACACTTCGTCCAAGTCGCTTAGGTTATTTTGTTTTGTTTTGCAGGTCCTAAGGCTTCCACTCAGAGCCTGGGCCTGTCTCTGAGGGTTTCTTTTTTTGTTTGTTTGTTTTTGTTTTTGGCGCAAGGCTAGCGCTCTACCACCTGAGCCATAGCTCCACTCCTGGCTTTTGGGAGGGTAGTTCATTGGAGCTAAGAGTCTCATGCATTTTCCTGCCGGGGCTGGCTTTGAACCACGATCCTCAGACCTCAGCCTCCTGAGTAGCTAGGATAACAGGTGTGAGCAGGCAACTCACGTCGGGGTTTTTCCTGCACAACTTGAGACCACTTCGGGGCTGCTGCGTTGGCAGATCGGCCTTGGATCTTATTTCTCACCCCCCATCCCAGCGTCCCCTTCCTTCCCAAACGCGAGTCCCTGGAGAACTTGAGTAGATACAGAAGGTGAGCCAGGTTGGGAGCGAGGCCCGAGCTCACGCGCCCTCGCCCCTCTCTCTGTCCCTCCTCTCCCCAGCCGCGCCAGCCGTGGATGCCTCTGACATCATGACCGCCGAGGATTCCACCGCAGCCATGAGCAGCGACCCCGGAGCGGCCCCGGCCGCCGCCGCCAGCTCCGCCAAGGTGCCGGAGGGCGTGGCGGGCGCGCCCAACGAGGCGGCCCTGCTGGCGCTGATGGAGCGCACGGGCTACAGCCTGGTGCAGGAGAACGGGCAGCGCAAGTACGGGGGTCCCCCGCCGGGCTGGGAGGGCGCGCACCCGCAGCGGGGCTGCGAGGTCTTCGTGGGCAAGATCCCCCGCGACGTGTACGAGGACGAGCTGGTGCCGGTGTTCGAGTCGGTGGGGCGCATCTACGAGCTGCGGCTGATGATGGACTTCGACGGCAAGAACCGCGGCTACGCCTTCGTCATGTACTGCCACAAGCACGAGGCCAAGCGCGCCGTGCGCGAGCTCAACAACTACGAGATCCGGCCGGGCCGCCTGCTGGGCGTGTGCTGCAGCGTGGACAACTGCCGCCTCTTCATCGGCGGCATCCCCAAGATGAAGAAGCGCGAGGAGATCCTGGAGGAGATCGCCAAGGTCACGGAGGGCGTGCTGGACGTGATCGTCTACGCCAGCGCGGCCGACAAGATGAAGAACCGCGGCTTCGCCTTCGTAGAGTACGAGAGCCACCGCGCCGCCGCCATGGCGCGCCGCAAGCTCATGCCCGGCCGCATCCAGCTGTGGGGGCACCAGATCGCCGTGGACTGGGCCGAGCCCGAGATCGACGTGGACGAGGACGTCATGGAGACCGTGAAGATCCTCTACGTGCGCAACCTCATGATCGAGACCACCGAAGACACCATCAAGAAGAGCTTCGGCCAGTTCAACCCGGGCTGCGTGGAGCGCGTCAAGAAGATCCGCGACTACGCCTTCGTGCACTTCGCCAGCCGCGAGGATGCCGTGCACGCCATGAACAGCCTCAATGGCACCGAGCTGGAGGGCTCCTGCCTCGAGGTCACGCTGGCCAAGCCTGTGGACAAGGAGCAGTACTCCCGCTATCAGAAGGCGGCCAAGGGCGGCGGCGGCACAGTGGAGGCCGCGGCCGCCGCGCAGCAGCCCCCGGGCTACGTGTACTCCTGCGACCCCTACACGCTGGCCTACTACGGGTACCCCTACAACGCGCTCATCGGGCCCAACAGGGACTACTTCGTGAAAGGTTAGTGGGGACCCTTCTGGGCGGGTCCCCCTTGGTGGGGGGGGCAGCAGGGAGCCTGGCTGTGGGTTCCTGAGTTTTCCTTACCCCACTCAGGCGGGCTTGCTTGAGTTCTGAGCTCTCCTTGTTGGTTCAGATGAGTCACTTTTGTAGCATGGAAGGAAATGCAGATTTAAAAGAAGGAGTGTGTGTGTGTGTGTGTGTGTGCATGCGTGTGTGCATACATGCACGTGCCGGGGCTTGAACTCAGGGCCTGCCCACGGTCTCTGAGCTTTTGTGCTAGCTCTCTACCACTTGAGCCACAACTCTACTTCCAGGTTTATTTGTGGGGTTTTTTTTGGTGATTAATTAGAGTCTCACAAACTTTCCTGTCCAGGCTGACTTCAAACCATGATCCTCAGCTCTCAGCCTCCTGAGTAGCTAGGATTACAGGCATGAGCCACCAGCGCCTGGCTGAAATGCAGGAGTTTCTGGAGTAAGCAGCAGAGTAAAAGGTCTGCATTCTCCCTTGGCAAGGCCTACCTCATCTGGAGCAGATGCCCATCTCATGGAACTTAGCTTCACACTTCTTTCTGAAGTTAACTCTAAGTCATCATTGCTGACAGTCATTGATGAGATATAATGAAATCAAGCCGGATGCTGGAAACAGATAACCCAGGGGTTATCTAGGACCTGCTCTCTCATTAACTGATTCTGTGACCTTCATTAATGTCCCTAGGCCTGTTTTCTCAAGCATAAAATGAGGATGGTAGACTAGCAGGTCCTTTTCAGGTCTAATTTTTACATTCTGAATTCCAGGAACTCACCTCGTGAGTTAGTGGCTTGTTCTAAGTAGAGAGTGCTAATGTAGGCTGAAATAGAATGTTTGAAGCATCTTCAGCAATCATTAACGATGTAAGGTATAACCACCTGCCACTCAGACACAGGACGAATGAACTGTGTCCCCCATTCCCCCATACCCCGCCTTTCCAACCTGTCTCTTGCTCATCATATTTTTGTGTTGTTACTATAAGCAGGCAGCATAAGAGGCCGGGGGCGAGGTGCAGCTGGCAACAGAGCCCCAGGGCCCAGGGGCTCCTACCTTGGGGGATACTCTGCTGGCCGTGGCATTTATAGCCGATATCACGAAGGGAAAGGAAAGCAGCAAGAAAAAGGATATGAACTTGTGCCGAATCTGGAAATCTCTGCCGTCAATCCAGTTGCCATTAAGCCTGGTGCAGGTCAGTATGAACCAGAGCAAGAATGAGTCATTTGATCCAATCATCAACTTCAAGCCTTCCCACTTTCCCCTTCCACCCCTTCACCCCCTGATCTTTTCTGTCTACATGCATTTGAGTTTCTTTCTTGATTGGTAGCCAGGCAGGCAAAAAGAAGGTGGTCTCCTGGGCTTTCTTCCCTGGAATTTGGGGGATAGGCTAGGTCTCACCATGGTCAAGTCCACTTGGAAGACTCTTGATCTTGTCTAAAACCAGCACTCAGGCATGTTTCTTGCTCTTAACCATCAGGCCAGTTATTTTCCTGTTTTTCTTCTTTGTTTTTCCTTTGGCAGTAGTGGGGATTGAAGCAGGGCCTTGGGCATGCTCTACCACTGAGCTGTAGCCCTAGCCTTGCCCCTTCCATTAGAAACCAGAGGGTACTGCTTAATTACCAGTTGGGAGAATTGTTGAGAAGTAGAAATTTCCCCCTTAAAAGCAAACAGCTCCCTTTGTCCTCTGTTACCATCTGAGCAAACAAGAACACTTGGGGACAAGGCAGCAACTTTTTGCAGCTACTGGATTCTAATTCCCAGAATTCACTCCCTCTTTTGCTAGATCAGTAGATTTTAGAGTCATTCCTTCACATCTTAGATCATTTGAAACAGACCTTGAACTTGGCTTTCACTTCTAGGTTAAAAACCTGTTTGCCATTGTTAGCAACCTTTAACGTGAGTCGGGCATTCTGATCTCAACCTGCAAGATACTCAACTCCATCCTGTGAGTTGAGCTCTCACTTGCTATGAGAGCAGGCAAACTTCTGAACACAAGGGAAATTCAGTCTCTGTGTTGTTAACTGGACTGATGCTTTTCCTGGCCTCACTGAGTATATGTTAAAAAGTGCTGAGACTTATTTTGATATACTTCCATGGAGGAGGAGGAGTGTACAGTTTCCTCTAGATCAAATAGAATCGTGTGTGTGTGTGTGTGTGTGTGTGTGTGTGTGTGTATTTGGGGCATAGGTTCACTTTGGCCTTGCAAAACTCAAAATAAAATTCCCAGTGAAACAGCCATTTGACGATATCCACTGGTAATCAGTAATTTTTTCTTTAATCCTACCATCTCTGCAGTTAAGTGACCCCTTGTACTAGATTTCCTTTTTTTTTTTTTTTTTGGTCGGTCGTGGGGCCTGAACTCTGGGCCTGGGCGCTGTCCCTCAGCTCTTCAGCTCAAGGCTAGCGCTCTACCACTTGAGACACAGCACCTCTTCCGGCTTTTTTCTTTTTGCTTATGTGGTGCTGAGGAATCGAACCCAGGGCCTCAACAGTCTTTAGCTGTGTGGAGTCATGTCGTCCTAGTATAGACTCTTGTGGGTTGGCAGCCAGAACAGCAGAGTTATTCAGTGCAGCTCCTGTGGCTCAAGCTTAGAACCTTCTCTGGACCCCAGTCCCGTGCTTCTATTTCTGATCATCCAGAAAATTCGAGCTTTGTATTTAGCTTTGTATTTTAGGAGAGGCAATAGGATAGCAGCAAAGTATCCAAGCACAATTTAGCTTTGTATTTTAGGAGAGGCAATAGGATAGCAGCAAAGTATCCAAGCACAAGACCAGTGGAAAATTTGGTAGGACAGACACGTGAAATATTACTTATTGTGTGCGGGCTTGCACTTTCACTTGGTAATTTCATTCAAGGTTGGTGCTCTACCACTTGAGCCACATCTTCAGTACCAGGTCAATTTTTTTGTCAGTTATGAGCTTTAAACGTGGGGCCTAGATGCTTTCCCTGACCTCTTCTGTTCAGTGCTAGCTAGCGTTCAATTACTTGGAGCCCCAGCACCACTTCCGGTTTTCTGGTGGTTAACTGGAGATAAGAGGCTCACAGACTTTCCCATCCAGGCTGGCTTTGAACCATGATCTTCAAATCTCAGCTTCCTACCAGCTAGTATTATAGGTGTGAGCCACCAACACTCAGCCCAGATTGATATTTTTTATTGAATGACCATACTATTGTTGAACTTATGTTCATTTTCCTCCTTACCTCTGATCAAGTCAGTCTTTAATAGAATGAGTGTACCTGCAGGTGGAGAAAAATATTAATGAAAGAATTCTTTATGCATACATTTTATACTCTTTTTGTTAACGGTGGTATTTATTTAGTTTTCTTTTTGTTTTTCTGTTGGTACTTAGGGACTTGAACTCAGGACCTTTAGCTTCTTTGTTCTAGGCTGGCACTACACCAATTGAGCCACAGCTCCGTTTTTGGCTTTTTTAATGTTTTGGTGGTTAATCTTTCCTGGCTGGTCTCACTTGGCTCCTCAGATCTCAGCCTTCTGAGTAGATGTACATTGACATTCAGTAATGGTATCTGTTCAAATCTCTGCAGGAAATCATTCCTTTGGACTTAACTCACAGGAATTATTTGAGTCGGCAGGTCCCACAGAGACACCAGTCCCTTCCCTGCTTCACTGCTGAGTGGATAGTAGAAAATTACAGAATGTTTCCATTTTTATTACATTTTGTTTTCTGCCATTGAATTAATAAGTTGAATTATGAAGTATGTTGGACTTCAATGGGCGAGGTGAGACAGAAAGAATGGACAGACTCTCCTTCCCCCGTGTCTGGCCAGGCCACTGGGCACAGGTCTTCTTAGTCTACTTCCTCAGTCAGAGACCCTCTGTTCCTTCATAGGACTTCAAGAATAGGATTGTTGCTGGGTGCCGGTGGCTCATGCCTGTAATGCTAGCTGTTTAGGAGACTGAGATCTGAGGATCACGGTTCAAAGCCAGCATGGGTAGGAAAGTCCATGAGACTCTTATCTCCAATAAACCACTAGAAAACTGGAAGTGGTGCTGTGGCTCAAGCGGTAGAGTGCTCGCCTTGAGCTGAAGAGTTCAGGGACAGTGCCCAGGTCCAGAGTTCAAGTCCCATGACTGACAAAAAGAATAGGATTGTAGAAGGGGTGACACAGATCAAAATGCATTGCATTTGCTTTGTTAACTCTCCCTTGTACAACTAATTTAGATAGATAGATAGATAGATAGATAGATAGATAGATAGATAGATAGATAGATAGATAGATAGATAGATAGATAGATAGATTCAAAGGAGATGTTTCTATAGAAATAGCAGAAGACATTGGAGGGAAAGCTAGCTGACCTATGGGGAAACTCCATGTGCAGGTACAGGACTGGCTCAGGCTGGCACAGCCTTAGTTAGCATGGAGAGGCCCATGATTGTAAACCTTGGATTTTAAAACACTGCAGAGCCTCCCTGATGATCGGAAGTTACGGACATGTTTTCTGTATTGCTTCTCTTGCAGTGGCCATTCCTGCCATCGGAGCCCAGTATTCCATGTTTCAGGCAGCCTCCGCCCCGAAAATGATAGAAGATGGCAAAATCCATACCATGGAGCATATGATCAGCCCCATTGCAGTGCAGCCAGACCCAGCTAGTGCTGCTGCTGCCGCTGCTGCTGCCGCCGCCGCCGCTGCTGTCATTCCTGCCGTCTCCACCCCACCACCTTTCCAGGTACAGTGGAGCCGCTCTTTATTGCAGGATTCAGAACTGTGTGCCTAACTGCCAACATTATGAGATTGGGTAGTTGGTATGTATGTGTGTGTGTGTGTGTGTGTGTGTGTGTGTGTATGAAGAATATATTAGATATGTGTATGTAATGTAGTGTATGTGTGTAAAGAACTTGCACAGATACTGATCCATGCAAGTTTACAAAATCTGCCCTCTTTCCACCAGCCATATCTCACACTGTTCCTCTCTCTCCCTAAACCACTCCCTCCTTCACTCCCTCCTTCGCTACCACTTGACTTCGAGTATAACAATACTCACGTCCTCTCTCCTGTAGAATCTTCCCTTCCACTATCCTAGCAACACCTTCCCGTCAGTTCTTCTCCTTAGCTCCGTTACTCTGTGGCATGTGGCTGCCATGACGCTGTGTGTTGGAAGGAAGCTCAGCCAGCACGAAGGCTGCATCTTAGTCTCTGTTGTGTCTTCAGTGCGCATCACGCAGAGAGTGCTACACGTATTTAAGTCTGTCACAAGGAATACTCTTGCCCAAGGTCTCTCTAGAAAGTCTAGACTCGGAGCCCTGAACATGCCCATTCAGGAGCTGTGCTGGGGTTCTAGAATTAGTACTTTGTCTCAGAGCCTCGGTGGTTCTGGGTCAGAGCCAGGCTGTGTCACTACAAGAAAGTGCTGCTTCCTGTTCCTGCCTCCTGGGAACCTAGTGCCGGCTACATTCTTCACAAAGAGCTTATCCATCCATCCACATGTAATTAAATACTCATTTTATTTTTATGCCGATCCTAGGGCCTGAACTCGGGGCCTGGGTGCTGTCCCTGAGCTGCTTTTGCTCAAGGCTAGGTCTCTACCACTTGGGCCATAGCTCCATTTCCAGCTATGTTTTTTTTTATTAAGTACTCTATGACTGAGAACCTCTTAAAGCACACATCAGAAATAAACAAGTCAGGGCTGGGAAGGTGGCTCAGTGGTAGAGCGCTTGCCTTGCATGCTCGAGGCCCTGGGTTCGATTCCTCAGCACCACATAAGCAAAAAGAAAAAAGCCGGAAGTGGTGCTGTGGCTCAAGTGGTAGAGCACTAGCCTTGAGCTGAAGAGCTGAGGGACAGCGCCTAGGCCCAGAGTTCAGGCCCCACGACCGGACCCAAAAAAATAAATAAATAAATAAACAAGTCACACTTTACAAGGACAACTGAGTTTAGTTACTACTTGTAGATTTACAAGGACAACTGAGTTTAGTTACTACTTGTAGACAATGTATATATTCATAACAACTTCTGGACATAATGCAACTCAAGTAATTTCCTATATTTTTTATTCACATAATTGTATCTTTTATAGGCTGTCTTGTGATATTTTAATAGATATGCATAATTCTTCTCTATAAATAAACTCATGATATTTGTCTTGAGTATATCATCCCAGTTCCAGTCGGGTCCAAATCTCAGACCCATTAATCACACTCAGCCTCCAGACTATTCCTGGCTCATATCTGCCTGCTATAGATGGCATCATGGAAGCCGTCATTTGTGGTCTCTGCAGATGAATTTGATCAAAGTATAGTCATTGTCAGTTGATCATGAGCAAATTTGTACCTCCTCCAGCGCTTTCTGCACAATGTCTGGAACAGCTGACTTTTTAACAAGTGGGGTCTTAGTAGTCTCTAAACTCTAAGTACCCCTAACTCACCTGAGTACTTGAACTTGATTTCCCTGGCCTGCTAGCCTTCAGCTTCTTCTGAATCCTCTGCCAAATTGCAGCAAAGAAAGGAACATTCCAATGTCACTGGTTGACAAGAAAGCGAGGAAGGAAGGAAGGAAGGAAGGAAGGAAGGAAGGAAGGAAGGAAGGAAGGAAGGAAGGAAGGAAGGAAAAAGAAAAGGAAGGTACTTTTCTTTTTTCTTTCACTTCCTTTTATTGTTTTGTTATTTTTATTTGGCAGTACTGGAGACTAAGCTCAAGGCCTTGTACTTGATAGGCATGATTCTACCTGAGTTATGCTGCTAGCCCTGTCTTTTTTTTCCAGTTGTGGGGCTTGACTCTCGGCCTGGGCACTGTCCCTCAGCTCTTCAGCTCAAAGCGAGCACTATACCACTTGAGCCACCACGCCACTTCCAGATTTCTGGTGGTTAATTGGAGATAAAGAGTCTCACAGTCATTCCTGCCTGGGCTGGCTTTGAACCACAATCCTCAGATCTCAGCCTCCTGAGTAGCTGAGTACAAGTGTGAGCCACCGGCACCCAGCTACCCCTGTCTTACTTAGTTTTTCAGATAGAGGCTGAATCTTTTGCCCAAGCTGGCCTTGGACCTCAGTCCTTCCGCCTGCTCCTCCTAAGTACCTAGGATTCTAGGCCTACGTCACTACGTCTGGCCTAAAAAGAACACCTTTCTAAACCTCACTGGTCACTGACTCCCCAGAGGGACACACCTTGCCTCACCCTCCTCTGCCTTGCAGGTGCTCAGGGATCCTGTTTAACCATTTCATCTCCAGAATTTCACATAGCCTTTGCAAACAGTGAGGAAATATTTGCCAATGTGAGCTTAGCCATTTTGCAAAATGATGTTCCCATGTGTTCTTAATCTTCACAACAGTGGGATGCAAGTAGCAAGTGATCACCATCGCCCTTTGACAAGAAGAAAACTTCAGCCCTTCCCCTCCTCAAACCCCGCCTTGCATCTCATCCTAAAAGTATTCTGTGTCTTAAGTCACATTTCCTCACCGGGACCCTGGCCTTCCACATGTGTTCTGCGAAGGGACTAGAAAATGAGTACGCTTGGGAATTGGATGTCTGCACATTGCACGTTGCCACCCAGCAAGCCTCAGTGCCGTCTTTCCTTGTAACACCCTGACCATTAGCAAACACACATTGATCCTGTTTACTGGCAAATGGGACTACAGGAAGCTGGGCTGGCCAGTTGGTATTGCCACATAGCTGAGTCATGAACTGCCCTCATTTTTGTAAATCTCTTCCTGGTACTACGCTCTTGCTAAGTCAATCTCAAAGTGTTACTCTGGTAGAATGGTTGCTTAGCACACACAAAGGCCTGAGGTTTGTTACACAGCACAATAACACGCACACACACATGCACACACACACATACATATATCCACATACATACTTGATTTGTTTAATTCTTTGATCCTATGAATGTTATATATTGCCAGTACATAGCTCAGGACAGACTCCTCATCTGTTACTCTCAGTATGTGCTGGTCTCTAGCAGTAATGCACAGAGTGGTACACGTAGCCCTTTTTGGTGTTTATGACCCTTAAGGTCATGTGTCCAGGTTAAGCCACCTGTATGGGGACATGTCAAAGTCTTGTCTCTTCTGACTCAATTCTGTCCTTTACCATCCCTGAGCTATGAGCCATGATGTATTCAACCTGGTATTGGGTGAGTGGTCTCCATTCAGGGCTTGAGCCAGAAAGGCATGTGGCCATCTAAGAGATGTCACCTCTTCCTTGAGGGATCTGTTATACAGCATGTGCACGCATTTTGGGAAAAGGTCCTTGTGTCTGGCTGGGACACCATCCTCTCCCTAGTCTGAGACATTCATTGTCCAATGGGTTGTAGGAGATGAGGTCATACTGGGACAAGACTTAAAAGCCCTGTCGTTCTGTTCATGCTCACATCACTGAGCACATCTGTACCTCTCCACAAAATCAAGTCTCCAACCTGGCTTTGAGCTGCAACGAGGCCAGGATAAAAATAAGGTACTCAGAATAGTGCCTGGTAGACAAGAACCTCTTGGTTATCATCATTGATGATCATTGTAAAGTTATTGTTTTGATTTGTTGAAAAAGGTATTCTCACGTTTACAAGTTCTTTTGAACACAGTTCTGTGAGTCTTGTTTGAAGATTTGGTTAGAGAAATTAGAATCCAGGAAGAATTAACTTTAATACCCTATCCCTCCTTCCCTTTTTTTCCGGTGGTAGTGGGGTTTGAACTCAAGATCTCATACTTGCTAGGTAAATGCCACACCTCTAGCCCAATACCTTTTTTTGGGGGGGGGGCGGTCCAGTCGTGGGGCCTGAACTCTGGGCCTGGGCACTGTCCCTCAGCTCTTCAGCTCAAGGCTAGCACTCTACCACTTGAGCTACAGCACTACTTCTGGCTTTTTTCTTTTTGCTTATGTGGTGCTGAGGAATCGAACCCAGGGCCTCAGGCATGCAAGGCAAGCACTCTACCACTGAGCCACCTTCCCAGCCCACCCAATACCTTTTAAATAAACTTTTCCATTTCCTATATTATAAATCTTGTGTTTTGAGATATGGATGGCGAGGAAGAGAGACCAAATGCCAGCATTCAGTTGAGCATAGTCTATGGAACATAAGACACACCAAGTATTCTGTTAAGTTTTAATACCAAAACATTCATTTTCTATTCAACAGCTCCCTGAACTGCTCCATGGAAAATCCCTTGAGAATTATTGGGCCTCAAGGTCTTGTCTTCCTACTGTCTCTCTGGAAACATTGTATATATTTCCTGTGGGCATGGCAGGCACAAATACAGAGCACAGAGGCAGCCATCTTTACCTTGACCCTCCTCGTGTAGAAACTCCTCCTTATCCTTCAAAACCCTGCATGCTGTCCCCACTTTTAGATGCTTTCTCCAATGCTCCAAGTTAATTGACTCCTCTAATCTACAAATTGTGTGTATATTGTTGCCATGTGGGAGACCACCTGTCACATTGGCTGGAAATATGGGGTTCACTGTGAAGAAACTGCCCCTGTGGGGGGACCCACTCCACTAACATGACACAGTCCTCTTTCTGCTCTGTTTCTGAAGCATGTTCCGTCAGGCAAATATAAATTGAAGCAGTTGGCATGTATTCAGGGGGTACATATTTGTTTTATTGTTTTACTTTTTTTTTTTCCAGTCATGGGCCTGGGCGCTGTCCCTCAGCTCTTCAGCTCAAGGCAAGCGCTCTACCACTTGAGCCACAGCACCACTTTTTGGTTTTCTGGTGATTAATTGGAGATAAGAGTCTCATGGGCTTTCCTTCCTGAGTTGGATTTGAACTGTGATCCTCAGATCTCAGCATCCTGAGTAGCTAGGATTACAGGCGTGAGCCACCAGCATCCAGCCAGCTTTATTTATTTTTTATTTTTTTTATTTCTTTTGAGACAGAGTCTTGTTATGCAGTCTACGCTGGCTTTTAGCTAGCTCATAATCCTCATGCACCAACTTCTCAAGTCTTAGGATTACAGGCATGTACCACCATGCCTGGCTTAGTGGATATACTTTAGGAAAAACACTTTTTTTTCTGGTGCTGGTACTGAGGCTTGAACTCAGGGACTGGGTACTGTCCCTTAGCTTTTTCTGCTCAAAACTGGTGCTCTATCACTTGAGTCATACTTCTACTTCTGGCTTTTTGTAGTTAACTGGAGATGAGAGTCTCCTGGACTTTTTTGCTTGGGCTATGATCCTCAGATCTCTGCCTCTTGAGTAGCTAGGATTACAGGTGTAAACCATCGGTGCCCAACCAAACCAAACAGCAACAAAAACACTCATGTTTAATTATTGTGTGGGAGCCGGGCACCGGTGACTCATACCTATACTCCTAGCTACTCAGGAAGCTGAGATCATAGGATCGTGGTTCAAAGCCAGCCTGGGCAAGAAAGTCTGTGAGACTCTTATCTCCAATTAATCACCAGAAAACTGGAAGTGGTGCTATGGCTCAAGTGGTAGGGCACTAGCCTTGAGCCAAAGAGCTGAGGGACAGCGCCCAGGCCCAGAGTTCAAGCCCCACGACCACTAAGTACATAAATACATACATACTGTATAGAAGATTTCCAGTGTAATGCAACCTTTCCCCTTCAGCCTTCCCTGTCCATCTCCCCTTTCATCAAGGGTCTCATTACTGAATGTGAGCGAGTGAATAAATAGAATAGTTGTCACCTGCCCTGAGTGAGAAGTCTTCACTCTCCATCCTACCACTCCCAGCCCCTGGAGGATGGTTGTAAATGAATGGAGGACAGTGCTCACACACAGGTTGAAGCAAGGATTCTCTTCACCTCTCCTCTCCAGGGTCGCCCCATAACTCCAGTGTATACCGTGGCTCCGAATGTTCAGAGAATTCCTGCTGCTGGCATCTATGGGGCCGGTTATGTCCCATTTGCCGCCCCGGCCACAGCCACCATCGCCACACTACAGAAGAATGCAGCCGCCGCGGCCGTGTATGGAGGGTACGCGGGCTACATACCTCAGGCCTTCCCTGCCGCTGCTATCCCCGTCCCCATCCACGACGTCTACCAGACATACTGAGCCTGGTTGCCCCCAGGGACAAACCACCAAGCCACCGCTGAAGGAACGAACACTTTACTATTTATGAAGACAGAATGTGTTCCATTCATACCTACGTCGGTCCTGAGTGAAGAATGTCAAATATCACACCGGAAAACGCTATATATATATATATATAAAGTTTTCACTCGGGTTTTGTTGTTGTTGTTTTTTTAAAGACTTTCCAACTTAGCAGGCCTGTGTTCATACATTTCCAAGAGACTTGCAAAAAGGTTCGTGCCTTAATTCCATCTTTTTTTTTTTTCCCCCCAAATTTGTACGACACTTGTATAGAGGTTTTCCGGGATTTTTGTTGTATTGTGTTGTTTTCTAAGGATATATTTTCAGTATGAAGGTTATTTTCTTAACTGTTGCACTCCAGAGATTTCTATTTTGTAGTACTTTCAATAATAATCTTATCACCTATATATTAAAAAGATTTTTAAAGCACCCTTGAGCAGCTAGGGAACTATTTTGAAAAATATATATATATTCAATATTTAAAGATACGAACGATAGTGCTTTAAAATACTACATAAGACATTTTTTTTGGAAAGTGGTACTGGAATGTGCAATTTTTAAATAAATAAAAACCTCTGCTGTATTTTTTCTGCTGGTATCAAGGGCTGGTGATGTGACAATGCTTTTATTTTTTTAGTAGAAATGAAACACTCAGCCTGTCTTTAAACCAGCATGGGAAAGACTCATCCATGCTCTGAGTCTAACACTGGAAAGCCCTGGCCTGCCATCTTTCCCCGGGGGCTCATTCTGTAGGTGCCTTTCCTGCTACTAATGCCTTCCTCTCTCCTCCGTCTCCCAATTCATCTCCAATGTTTCTCAAGTTTAGGACAAATAGCTAAACTCTAGTAGAGGGGGAAAAAAAACCTACTATCTTTTATATTTCTTCCTGGGTTTATACTGGGTCTTTTTGTTTTGTGATAAATATTTTTTGGAGGGATTTGGGAGGTTTTATCTTCTATCTGTGCTCTTTTCAATAGCAGACTACATGTAAGCACAAGGTTTTAATATGTTTGCCTAAGACATCTTTGCATAGCTATTTAATTGTCCAGTATAAAACTTTTAAGTCCCTTTCTACTGCTTTTCATTATTATTATTTTGAAGTATGAGTTTTTAGAGACAAAGAATGTATGGGCTTCTAGACAAGGCCCTAAAGACTTGTCAGCAGAAAGCCAAGCCTATAGTTTGCCTTATCATGCATTATGCAAAACGTCTGTGGGTTGTCAGAGGTGCTGGAAACGTGATGTTTGTTGAACAGGGCTGTTCCTCCAGTACTGTGCACTTGGCAGTGAACTTGGACCACGCACATCCCGGAGAAGGAGAGACCTGCCAGAGTTGAAAGTTTGTAAATATCTTCTAATGCTTACTTTCAATCCTTTCACGTTGAGGAAGTTCATGGTATATAGTTCAATGCAAAACTGAAACCATTTTATTTCAATGTTATTATTAGTTAAGCAGATTTGTTTTATTAGGAAATATATTGTCCAGTGTTTAGTGCCTGTTTTGTCACAGGTTTTTTTGTTTCACAGAGTGAATGTAAAATACAGTCACATGTTAAGATTGTCATCTGTTTTATGAACTACATCAAGTTAACTTTTTTATTAAAAAAAGGCTTTAATCAAGAAAATGAGGTGTGCAGTAGGTAGCAGGTACACCATTGTGTTTTATGTCATGGTAGAGATCTGTGAAATATTTCTAACTCACTGGATTTTTGTGGATGGCGGAATTCTTACTTGTGGATTCATAAGAGGACCACGCCCTTAGCAAATACTTTTCTTCGAGTATCTGCTTATTGTCTTTATTATTTAAAAAAATAGGAGATTCCCAAATGCCTTCCATCCCTGCTCATCTCGATGAGTTTTTATATATATAAGGAATATTTATTTTTTAGCTATTCTATAAAATTATTGAGTGCCTGCTAAGGCCTTTAAACATTCCTGGTATTCCTTTCCATCCTTCTTGTATGACATGAAGTAATCGTGCAATGATTCTGATGCTCTAGCCAGAAAGCTGCAACGAAATGCAAGTGGACGGGCGAGCAAAACCTAACCAAAAAATGCCATTCGGATCCGACCCTCTTCCCTTGACTTGTGTGAAAGAAAGCAAGCATTGTTCTTCCAGCAAATGATTGTTCACAGAGATTCACTGGATGAAATGCTGACCCAGTGTTCCTACTGTATTTTACATGGCCTATAAACCATTTGCAAAAAATAAAATAAAATAAAAGGTGTTATCTTAACCTGGCAACCACCAGGCTACCTTATAAACAAATGTTGGTGACAGCCAGTCAAGTTACCCAAAACCCTGTGTGGTCTTACCTGTTCCTGTTTGAAAAACCATTTCATGTACACACTACTGAGGTGAGTCTATAACTTGAAATGTGAACTCTTTTTTTTTTTTTTTTTTTAGGGTTAAGAACAAACTATATAAATGTTTTTAAAAAAAAGTCTTAGAGTTTTATTTTCAAACATGCTCATAGTTTAGTTATCTGTAGCTGCTTTGTATTGGAAAAGCTTTTTAGATCTTGCTCCATTTACAATACATTCTAAGGATGTATGTAGTAAATAAAGCTTTCTTTAAAGCAATTTTAAGATGTGTTTTATTTTTATAAGACAGCTCTCCTCTAACACATAAACACACAAACCCCAACAAATTAGGAAAACCCTGTAGGGGGAATGAACTAAATCGACATTTTCTGTTGGAGAAATGTTCATGCTTTTGTCATATCTTTGCCAAGAAGGACTATGGAAAGAGGTTGGATTGTGAATAATTGCTATGCCTTGACTTAGGCTGGGTATGGTAGAAGGTTGAATAATTGATTAATAGTCAGCTTTTGATTGGGAATAGATAAGGCAAAGCCTGTGCTGCTGTCAGGGTGGACATTTGTTTATGATTCCAGAGCTCTAGACTCAGAAGGAGAAATGGCGGTTGGCACGCTGAATTATTTAGTAATCTCATGTAAGTGCAGGAGATCTTGATATTGGTCACTTCATCAGAAACCAGGATTTTCTTTTTTCTCCTTTGCAGATGAACAAGGTTCACTGACGGCTTCCTTCCCTTTTTCTCATGATATCATCACTTCAGACAGAATCTATCAGCAAATCCCAGCAAGCAATTAGAGAGAAAGTGACAAGTTGTCAATAGAATTGTGGTACTTCTCAAAATTGTTCCTTTGGGTTTGCCAGTAATTAATTAACAAAAAACTTGTCCCTTTGGGTTTTCCAGTAATTAAGTAATTAACTTTAAACCTTGGTCATGACCTCCCACCTAGAATCCTAACTTCTTAAACACATAAAGACCTTTCTAGAGCCAGAAGAGGCTTGGGAACTTCCCAAGGAGACCCATCATTAGGCAGTGTTCTTAAGGGCAACAGATCTTATGGAGAAGAGTTTATATTAGAATTAGATGATTAGAAAGAGCTCACTGCCTTACTGTGGTCCCAAACCTCTGCTCCATGCAGGCTTTGTTCTAGGAGCCAAAGTCTGGTTTCTCTGGCCGTTTGGAGATGACCTAGTGGAGAGCACAAAGGACCAGGACCGGTGAGGGTGAAGGCTGAGATGATGTGACTCACTAGGCTCTGGATGCCACATCTCAGGTGGACCACATAATAAATCATGAAGTAGTCAGATGCAGGCCTAGCTGAGGTCACTCAGCTGGTAAGAACGGAGACTCACATCTGAGTCGTCAGCCTGGGATCCCAGACTAGAACAGCACACTGACCCTGGACTTGGGTAAGCTGAATGTTTTAGGGAAAGAAAAGGAAGGCCTGTTGAGATAGCATGTGCCTATAATCCCGTATTGGAAGGCTGAGGCGAGAGGATGGAAAGTTCAAGGTTATCCCAGTCTATTTAGGTTGTTTTTGTTTTTGTTTTGTGCCAGTATGAGGCCTGAACTCAGAGCCTGGGCTCTGTCCCTGAGCTTTTTCCCCTCCAGGCTAGCACTCTATCACTATGAGCCACAGTTCTACTTCGGGCTTTTTGGTGGTTAACTGGAGATAAGTGTCTCACGTACTTTCCTGTCTAGACTGGCTTTGAACTGTGATCCTCAGATCTCAGCCTTCTATGTGGCTAGGATTATAGACATAAGCCACTAATGTCCTGCTCTCTGTATTTTTCAAAAAATGTGTTCTCATGCAACTTACGAGATAGGAACTAGAGGTTGAATGGCTGAAAATGCCTGCAGACCTTAGACACAATAGAATATGTCAGGTTGGTGAACAAATGTACACTTACAGATTTAAAGAATTCCAGTGCCTTGTAGCTTATCAACTAACTCTTATCAACTATCACAGGAAATCTGACCTACCCTCTAGGTTTGCTTGATTGGTGCTGAGCATCAAAACCAAGGCCCCATACATGCTAAAAGCACATGCTAGGGACTAGGAATGTGGCTTAGTGGTAGAGTGCTTGCCTAGCATGCATGAAGCCCTGGGTTCGATTCCTTAGTACCCCATATGCAGAAAAAGCCAGAAATTGCACTGTGGGTCAAGTGGTAGAGTGTTAGCCTTGAGTAAAAGCAGCTCAGGGATAGTGCCCAGGTCCTGAGTTTAAGCCCCAGGACTGGCAAAAAGAAAAAGAAAAAAAAATGCTGCGATACCCTTCTGATTCTTCATTACAATATATAGATGCTCCTTTTTTTAATTTCAAAAATATGTCAACACATGCAAGTACTTAGTTGAAAATCAGAAGTCAGTGTAGTCTGGTTTCTATGACCTCAACTATTACATGATACTACCTTTATTATAAAGTCTTAAGGGGCTGGGCACCAATGGCTTGCGCCTGTAATCCTAGCTACTTAGGAGACTGAGATCTGAGGATCACAGTTCGAAGCCAGCCTGGACAAGAGAGTCCCTGAGACTCATCTCCACGATGAGTCTCCAGAAAAGCCAGAGGTGTCATTGTGGCTCAAGTGGTAGAGCACTGGCCTTTAGCACAGAGAGGCTCAGAGACAGAGCGTAGGCCTTGAGTTCAAGCCCCAGGACAGGCAAAAAAAATTTTAAATCTTATGAGCACTCTGCTTTTGTATCAGGGTTTTGGGAGGTTTTTTAGTCATAAGAAGTGTGATGTTTTGACATGGCTATTTCCATGAAAGGACATTTTGTGTTGACACTATGAACATAGGAGATGACATTTTCAGTTTTGTTAAGGAGCTAGAGAATAGTGTGACAGATGCTCACCTTCACCTCGTCCTTTCCCACATTTCTCATTCCTGACCCCAAGTTCAAAAGTAGGGTTAGGTTCAATTTAGAAAAGACTTGGAAGCCAGCTGCAGGTGGATACAATCTTCCTCCTTCTTCTCATTAGGTTTCCATTTCTAGGTACCCAGGATCACTCTGTTTTTAACTTCTTAGGCGGATATACCCAGAAAACGTGCTGACCTCAATATCTACCTCTCATAATGCCAGCCTTGCTGCTTAGTCATGTGGCCTTGGGAAAGCCACCGCCGCTCACAGATCTCTTAATCGCATAGACCTTGTAATCCTGACCTCAGAAGGTCATGGTGAAAACCACGTAAGGCCGTGAATTTTCAAAGGCTTGACGCATTGTGGGCACTTTCTAAAAGGTCCTTTGCTTCCCATTGAGCTCGAGCTACATGAATGCCTTCCTCTAGCTCAGATCCATCAAATTCCATTTTAAGCTTTAGATCTGTTTTATTAAATCATTTATTTGGGTTTTGTTGTTAGTTTTGCAAGTGTGAGGCAAGTGCTTGATCACTAAGTTCCACCCTAACCTGAGTCCCCTCATTCACCCATGTATTAACTATACATTGGAGAGTATTGAATAATTTCTGCTCACACAGGGGAAGACGTGAGCGAGACAGCGGCAGCATCAGCCCTATCTGTTTTCCCAGGCAGCATTTATAGCAAGGCACTGTCTTTGCCAGGCACTTATTTGGAAAGAAATGGCAGCCGTGTGCAGGATGTGTGCAGCCATGCTCAGGGTGAGGGGGCATGGGGAAGGTGGCGGAGAGGAAAGGGATGGAGTGTGTTTGGCACTGAGGACTCAACATGGCTATAAAGCAGACTCATTCATAAGGCTGGTTCAGTGTGGCTGTTACAGAAAACGAGTTTTGAACAAGCTGCTCAGCCCCTGATCTTTCCCCAATGCACTTGGCTCAAAGCCCCAAATTCAGAAGGAGATCCCGGTCCTATAAGGAAGTTGGGAGCCAATAATCCCATGGGAAGAACCCGGGATCATTCATTCATTCATTCATTCCTCTGACATTTCTTTGCAGATGGCGGAGCCCTCCCACATGGCTGTAGCTAAGGGCTTGTCTAAATTAGTGTGGCACTTCTAACAGGCAGCTGGCTCTCTACTTTATGTCTTTCCTGGCCCAGGCACCGGCCTGCTAAGCCTGCCCTTGCCTGGGACAGTTTACAAGGACTGAAATCTTCCT